GATACCCTTCTGGCACATTTCATCATGAAGCCTGAAAGCCTCTAGCATATTACATTGCTTAGAGAAACCAGAAATTAGCGAAGTATAAGTATAAACATCAGGTACTATCCCCTTATCACACAAGTCAGAGAAAACTCTCATTGCTTCTAGCAATTTTCCATTCTTTGAGAGGCCATTTATAAGTGTACTGTAAAGCTGCACATCTGGAAGCAGTTTTCGTTCAAGCATGCATCTAAATATATAGAAGGCCTGCGTTATGTTCCCATGTTTGCAGTGGCCATAAATCATGGAAGTATAGATGTAAGGATTTAGATTTATTCCTCGATCAAGCATTTCCATGAAATATCTTTCTGCAACATGCATTTCCCCGGCCTCACTATAGCCAGAAATCAACGCTCCAAAGGTGTAGGCATTCGGAGCTAATCCCCTCTTCCCCATTTCAATAAGACAATTTCTAGCTTCTTCCATCCTTTTCGATTTGCAAAGGCCAATTATTATTGAATTATAGCAGAAAACATCAGGCAAAATTCCATTTTGCCACATATCCTCCAAAATTTTTATTGCCTCTTCAAATTTACCATCCTGCACATAACCTTTTATGATGGTCGTGCAAATAACAGAATTAGGTTTGATACCTTCTGAGATCATTTTCTCCAACAAAAGATTAGCCTGTTGGTGATCTCCTGAGCGGCTTAACTCGTTGATTATAGCACCGAAGGTGTATGCAGAAGGTGCCAAGTTTCTTTCTTTCATCTCAATCAAGAGTTCACTAACTTTGTCCATATTACTCTCTCGACTATACCCCTCAATCAAATAATTAAATGTCTTGTTTTCAGGATGCATTCCCAGTTCGAGCATCTCATGCATGAGATCTACTGCTTTCTCCATCTGACCAAATTTGCAAAGCCCTTTTATGATAGTGTTAAAGGTCACCACATTTAACTTAATTCCATATGCAGCCATTGTATCCTTGATTCGGAAAGCCTCATCTACATTCCCCTCTTTCATGAACCCATCAATCAATGCAGTATAGGCAACATGGTCGGGATTTTGACCAATTTTATACATCTCTTCCAAAATCAATTTCGCCTCCTTGGACCTCTTCTCTTTGCAAAACCCATCAATAAGTATTGAGCACGTGTAGCTATCTGGACCCAATCCCATCTCAAGCATACTCTTCTTCAACTCCAAAGCTTCATCAACAGCCCCTCTGCCACACAACCCTCTAATAACTACATTATAGGTAACTGTATTCGGACT